GGCCTGGACTGATTTGGCAGGCTTTTGCCTTCCTAGTTATATTCTCAACGTCCAGTTCAAAGAAACTGTAAAAAGTCAAAGAAGGTATTGCTACATCTGCCTTGAATGCATTTTGTAATGCAGGCTAATACGAGACGCCATGACTGTACCTCCATGGATCATAAGAAAGCAGGCAGAAAAAATACTTCCTTTTTTTTGAAGCTGGAATTAAAGGTTTTTGAATGGAAGATAAAGGAAAGCAGGCTTTCAAAAGCAGTTAGAAAAGTATTTGTCAGGGAGGATTTAGGTTATGTGTGGTTTTCGGTGCAAGGGGCCAGACTCTTGATTTGGAGCAACTTTTGAAGTTCTCTCTAGACTTGTGTTTCTGTGAACACAAATTGTTAGAACACAAGTTGTCAGAAGATTTGGCTGCACACGGTTAGGATGTCTGAACACGAACCACTGGTTTATATACATTTTTTAGTCCTTCTCCTTTTCTCTTTGTAGTAGCAAAACTAATGAAAGTGTCAATACACTGATAGCTAAAGAAGTGTTCTGAACCGTATTTTAAAAGGAACGGTTATTTTAATTGCTTTCTTTTTCCATCTTCCCCTTCACCAAAATGACTAGCGTATTCTGCTGTTTTCACCATTACATGTTATTTCCTTTTGGAAAAGAGATCGTGGTAATGTTAAATCCACAAAATATAATTGGCCGAGCGTGCCAGCGTAATCCATGTGAGCAATTATATTTGCTTGTTTTTAAAAGCATTTTTGATGGGAGTTTTTTTGTTGAATATTTGCTATTCATAGCTTGCCCTGATTTTTTTTTTAATATTCTATTTCAAATCTTGTGGCGCAATTAATACTGAATCTCTGCCTCTTTTTTTTTTTCCTTTCTTTTTTTTCTCAAGTTTCCAGATGCTGTATGCAGATTGCTATATGACCCGTGAGGAGTTCTGGGATATGTTTGATGGTTCGTTATACCACAAGCTGAGGGAGCAAATGAATTGCAAGGATGCCTTTCCAGAAGTGTATGACAAAATCTGCAAAGCTGCGAGGCACTGAGCCTGGATGATCTAATCAAGCAATCAGGGAAAGATGAATTTACCTATAGCTAGTCAGTATATCCTTTAAAAAAAAAGCTTTATTGCTCTCCAAATAAGCTCATTCTTGTTGACGTTTAAAGGTATGAATTCCTGCTTTATAAATTTATGTTTAGTATTTCTTCGTATGTTTTGAAACCAATTTTCCAAATTCAAAGTGATTGTTTTTAAGAAATCTAAAGTGCTAGCCTTTGTATCTAATGTAGTGACATAGGTGAATTCACCTATTTCCAAGCATAAGAAAAATAATTGGAAAGGATGAAGATACTGGAGTTACACCAGCTGTATACTATAGCTATATTTAACATTACTGTTGAAAACGGTAGGGAGGGCTCAGAAATAGGTGCCAAAGCTGAATGCGTTGTCAAATTAATCATGATGTTAAAAACATTTGCCTCCAGTCGGTAACCTGTAGGACACCTTCGCGACGGTACCATAGTCTGGCTGTACGGCGCTGCATGATGTGGTGTGGTACTGTACTGCTTGGGTTATACTGCATTATAATCTCAGCAGGGCAGTTAAACTCCCTAACAGCGGCGTCGGTTTCAAAACTGAGCATCGAGGTGTGAAGAAAATGCTTTTTACTTGTGCCTATCAGATTTGTACTGATTTTGATTATAAAGTGTACGTGGATGTAGGTTTTAGGTACTTTGTAATTGGCTAACAGTGCATTGTTTTTTTGCCCCAAAATACCAATGTTTTGGCTTCATAGGCTACTGAAAAAATTGCTGCTATTTCATATAGCCAAGTTTTAATTTCAGTTGTTACTCGTTGTGGGTCAGTTTATTTGGATTTTTTTGGTTTTGTTTTTCGGGTGTTTGGGGGGTGGGGTTGGTTATAGCTTAATTTTAGTGCCTTATAAATACTCAGTTGGAGGAAGACGTGGGTTATTTCAGACCGTTCTGTCCTGGCCGGTAGGAAAAGGAAGTCAAGGCTTTATTTATGCGAGGTTTGTTAGAGCAAGCGGCTGTGGACAAGAAGAACTCTTGTTGTCATCTTGATACGCACAGGCTTTGGTTCTGATTCGAGTGACACTTTTGCTTTTCGTTTTAGCTGGATTAGATTGATAGGCTTTGTAAAAGGACTGTTTCAGTCACCTGGAGAGGAAATCAACAGCAAGTACTGTTCAGTTCCCCCTTCTGCTGCTTGCCGGTGAAAACGGCACAGTCCCACACTTCATACAGTCAAGTGTAGAAGTGTGGAAATGTTTTGACCCTGTAGCCGGAAACACGGTTCCAAACCAAGCCCATGTCTTGTCCCAGCAGTACTTTAAATTGTTACTTGAAACCTTACTGAGCTTGAGGGAAAAGAAAGTAATTTTCTTGAGGCTTGCGTCGGGGTTAACGTGAAGAACTTTTTAAACAGTTACCAGTGGGAGGCGTTGTAATTTTATATGAGTGCTAAACCAATGATTTTATTTATTGATAGATGGATGTTTATGGTCCAGATGAAACCAATGATAAAACAGTAGCAAGTTTGGCCTGTTACTCAGTGATGCATGCTGGGCAAATTGTGTGCAAATACGGTCCCCCTTAAAATCCCACACGGGGGACTGGTAGCAGGGGCAGCCTGCCAAGGGGAGATGCAGAGGATGCAGAGCGCCTGCAGCGCTGCCCAAGCCACGGAGCCAGGCAGGAGGTGGGGCTGTGTCAGTGATCCGGGAGTGTCTGCTACACCGTTCCAGGCTTCGGGGTACACAGGCAGGCAAACGCTGATTCTCAGGGTGTCACCTGCCCTCCTGCCTCTGTGAGGGAAGCGGCACAAGAGCAGCTTCCTTGTTCCTGGGGCAAAGCTACGATTTAGCCCAGTGCTTGTAAGATAATCTGCACAGAGCAAGAATGTGTTTGGTTAGCTTTTAAAGGGCGATGTTAAAACAGCTAGAGGATATGCAAATACTTTTACTTCAGCTATGTTTCTCTCACGTACTGATGATCTTTAGGTATGCACTGTAATTTTTTTTTCACTCCTTAATTTATTTGCAAACTTTGTGTGATGTGATTGGGTACTGTAACTGTATCAGTCACACAGATGCACATGCATAGTTGCTGTTGCTCTTAATTTTTGGTTGTACGGGCTGTTTAAAATAAAGATCTAGCCAGCATACTGTTCAAAGTGGTGTCTTTTAATGAATGATTACTTACTCTTCAACAGCTGTGTCTATCATTTGTCATGCTTATTGTATTGTTACAAACGGCCAGTGATTACTGAGGAAAGCTGCTGTCTGGGTAAGAGACCAGAGGCATTTCGAGGCTGTTGGGAGATGAGGAGCCTGGTGCTGCAAACAGCTTTGAAGGAATGTCTTTGAAGTCTGTGAGTCTACCCTTACCTCTGCTCCAAGACACACCTGTACAAAACAAACACTTACGGCTGAGCCTTAACCCTTCAGTTATGCCCCACTAACTCCACGTAGCCTCATGATGCCAATTATCCTGATTTTTCTCCCCCCTCACCTCATTCTTTCCCCATGACTTTTTGTCCAAGGAGGACAAAACCCCATTTTGGATCTAGGTGCTACAGCCATTGACATGGATAGCTACTTCGTTCTTCTCATACTAATAAGTCTAATCCCTGGTTTGAATGATCAGCCACAGAAGCGAAGATGAAGATTCAGTGCCCTCTTCAGCCTGAGGAGTTTCACATCCACATCTTCCGTTTCTTTGAAAAATGCCTTCACAGCAGCTCTGTAGGCTTAGCCAGAGGTATTCCTGCCACTCCCTTGGTCACAGCGAGTGCATCCTCTTCCAATGCTTTCTTCCCAGAGAAGCTCCTGGGCTTTCTCCTGAAACCCAGGCTGCCAAACGCCTCCACCCCACTGAAACCGCAGTACAAGTGCCAAAGCCTGCGTTCCTTTAATCTCAGCCTTTGTTGGCCCTGACTTGCGCTGCATTTCACAATCCTCTCGTTACCCCAGCAGTATTTCTGTAGCCTACGCTCACTCACATCACCGCTCAGGCACCTCCCTTCAGAGACCTCCTTACTCCTTCGCTTGCCTCTCCAGAATGATAATCAGTATTTCCTTAAATCACTGCAGTTCTACCTGTGTTCAATTATCTCTCCCACCAAAGGATAATTGCAGATTAATTAGCATACTTAATCAGCCACAACTAACATGTAATTACACCTAGATTTAATTATTCCAGTCTGGTCTAAACACTAGTACGAGACTTCATAAAGGTTAACTCTAAGTGAACCAGCATACTCCCACTACGGTTTTATGGCCATCCTTTGTTATCACCGACACAGCTCGCTCTTCATTTCACTTTCTCCGTTGCCTCTAGGTTTTAATATCCTACAAAATTTGGAACGATGACACTAAATTCCCCCTAATTCCCCCCAGCTGCTTATAAACATTTGCATTGTTAATTCAAGTGAAGCTGTATGTTACGGCTTGTGGTGAAGATCCTTGCACACAGCTACTTTAAAGACAGCACGGGACAGGTACATAGGCAGGTGAAGAAGGGCTGACGGCTCTAACTGCTTTGCCATAGCACTGCTTTCCCAGAGCCAGCTCTCCGTTGAGTTGTCCTGGTGGACCTGGGGGTATTCAGCTGCGGTAACACCACCGTGCCCAGAACAGGTACACGCGACTTCTTTCAGTAGTGCTGTTTGAAAGGAAGTGTTTAATACTGAATGAGCTGTGCGTGCCAGCAGACCTTCCTTCGGAGGATGTGCAGTACCTGGCATCCTCTTCGCAAGTGTGTCACTTTTATAAAGTCCAAGGTGGAAATAATGCATTACTCGACAAAAAAGTTAGACTGCTGGTTGTCTAAGCGTGTTTTATTACCACAGACCAAGACTTGAGTTGTTTCCTATCTCTTGACTTGCGTGCCAGCACTCTGTATTTTCATCTACCCCATCTCATCCGCTGGCATGTCTGCCATTTATGCACTGATTTGGCCTTCCCAGCACCATCATCTTATGTTTGGAAAACAGCAGTGGTTTCTTCAGAGGTACCTGGACAACGTGGAGCAGAAATCAAATCACTCCAGTTGTTTTTAGCAACTGGCTTGAGCCGCTCGCTGTGGAAAGAGGATGCAATTCAGGGGGCTCAAATTATTGACTGGATTAATCTCATTAGTCTTAATGAGCATGGAGGTCAACAGAGCTCTTAAAAGCCTGGCTATTCCCTAGAAAGCACAGCTGTAGCTTGAAAAGTGATCTTGGAGCTAGTGCTATTTGATCGGAGAGGTGCATTTGAATTCCAAGTCCTGCTCACTGTTCAGATTTCTTTTTTATTCCTACTGGAAGCGCAAAATTAATGAAGCTGGGCAATATTGAAAGCTAGATTTCATTATGCTTTCTCCATCATAGGATAGCTGGTTTCTGGCTGCCCCGCTGAAAGCTGCCGAGTTATATTCAGCCAAGACCGATTTCTAACTACTCTGGAGATCAAGACCGACCTTTGCAGAGCTGTCCGCCCGTAGTGCCGCCGCAGCAGTTTGCTAATCTTGGCCACAAGCAAAGGTGAGAGCGGAGGGCTATCCTGAGGTCTCTCATTAGTATAGTTCCTAACTGCTTCGCAGGGTTTTCACGCTAGCGATTTCAAAGCCCTCTGCGGTGAAAGTGAGCCTTGTTATCTTCCTTCCTCAGATGGAAGGCACCAATGCACAGCTTGAGAAGACGATTTTTGTTTCGGGCTGTTGAGCAGTCCAGTGCTGGCACTGGGAATGAGTCCAGACAGGCTGATTATCCATCCACCTCCCAGTTCCTTCCCAGGCTGTCTCCTCTAATTTGATGGAAACTATTTGCCTACACCTCCACTGCAGGCAAATTGCATTTCACAAGATACAACCGCCTTGGCACCTGTGAAGTGCCTTGAGAGCCAGTAGTGCTTTAACCCTCCCACTACCCCTACGCCGTGGGGAAGCACAAAGGTCTCCTTGCTTTCCTGGGAGCGGAGAGGAGCAGCAATACCAACCTCCCTGTCCACAGAGGGAACCTGCGGTGGGGCTGGCGAGCGTTTCTCAGTCCCAATCCAGTGCTTTAACTACACGATCATCCCATCTCGCATCAGTTGTAGTGTCATAACATGCACTCGGTCTCCCCAGAGCTGCTCAAGATGATTTTCCTGTAAGCCAGTGTGAAACAACTTACAGCCCCCTTGTCTGTCAGACTTACAGCAAGTCGGCACCCTGCTTCAAGTTGCTCAGGTACTGCTGCGCATCACGCTGGTACAGGGACTGGCAGCTCATCTTCTGAGGGTATTTTTCATGCTTGGTGATGTTGTAGCGACCAACACCTAGAGGGTTCTGGAAGGAGAAGGTCTCATGTGCTTCCCCATCCAGAGGCAGCGTGGAGGATGTGAGTGGGGCAAAACCAGGTAGTGCCTTCACGTGGCCAGGCCTTCACTTGCAAAAAATACAACAATATGTGGCGTATCTTAACCAAACCGAGCCTATATTGCAGGGGAGGGAGAAGACACACTAAACAGTGTTAGCCTGGCCAGTCCCCTTCATGAGTAGTTCTTCTCATCGCAGCAGTCCACAAAGAAGTCTATTAGCTCTGCAGGCTCGAGCAAGCTCACCAGTCACCCACTGCTAGCTGCAGTGAAGGGCTGCCGTGTCACAACCTCCCCACTGAAATGTCATCTGTTGAGTTCCCCAGCAATTACGGAGATGTCTTCATCCTTGACCTCTTTCAAGTTGCCTGTTCCCCACCCAGCTGGATGAAGGAGAGAAGCCACGTGGAAGCCTGCTCCTCATCCCTACCTAAGGTGGACTATTTCAGATTAAAGCTTTCCCTGTCTGCTTTGAGCCCTTTAGGCTTTGTTCTGGTTCTCCATGGGGAAGCTGCCAAGATGAATACAGCTCCAGGAATGGGTACTAAGGGAAGGGCTCCCACCTGCACTGGCTCTGCGACGTGCTGCTGATGCTGCTAGAGGAAAAACTGGCTTTCAAGCAGCAGAATACGACTTTCCTAGCTCCTGAAAGGACTCAAACCCAGCTGCCCTCATCCGTGAAGTGCATCCGCTTGCTTGCAGCTGATGCAGAGCAAAACTAATGGGAAGGGTTGTCTGAGCATCCCTTGAAAAGGGCAAAGGCCTGAGGATGTAGGCAGAGATAACATGGTTGCTGCTGAGCTCCTGCCCCTCTGCTCAGCACCAGGCAAGCTCACCTGCCTACGGCAGCGTGTGCTCAGTGGTGGGTGCTCAGCGTGCTGCTGTACGCAGGGGGCACCTTTCCCTTGACCCGGCAGGATGTTTTATTCTAATAAATATTTATTTATTTTATAAAGGTGGGCCTTTATTCACCATTTATTCTTTAGCAACCTGTTCTGGGCAAGAACAACAGCACCCAGAGAGGGACTCATCTCCTTTCTAAAGGATGGGTATCTGGCCACGTCGCCCAGGTTTCCTTGATAATCAATGGGGAGAGAAAAGCACCTCCTGAGGTCAGTCTGCCCTTCTATCGCAGACAGCCACCTGATGTGGGACTTCTGCTGGGGTGCTGCTCCGTTCAGAGGACACACCTAACGTTTAGCTGGCTGAAGCTGGTGAGGAGTGCCCGCCCTTACTTTGGCTCAGAAGAGTTTCGTCCCCTCCCAGGAGTGTGGTAATGGATTGGGGATGGTCATGGAGGAAGCTCAGAGCCTGAGCGTTCCTGTGACCCTCTCTCACTGCCTGGTCCATTCACTCGCCTCGTTCCCAGTAAAGAGGCGGTAGGACTTTCTGTGGAATCTCTTGGCAGATGACTAGAATGGGGGTTGGCTGGAGTACGTTGATCTCTCAACGGGCTTTGGGTTGTAGAAGCCCGGCCCCACCACATACTGGGCAGAAGGAAACCTGTTACACTTCAGTTTGCTCATAAAAAGAGCTGCACAACATCGGAGAGCTGTCCATCCCCCCAGGGCCTGATGCATCCCCACCCCAGGCACCCACTGCACCACCAGGGATGCTGGTGACACCGGCCGGTGCCAATGTCCATGCTCCCACTGCCTGCCTCCCTCGGGCACTGGCTGAGCGTGGCCCAGAAGATCCTCTCCATGAGGCAGCCCAGGTTCCTCAGTAGAGTGCTGAAGCAGCCTTTCTTGTCCTTCAACGTCAGCTCATCCAGGAAACCCTTGACAGTGCCAGTGCTCAGCTCGGTGCCTCTCCTCTGCCGGGACAAGGGAGCGGCACGAAAGGCTCGGCTGCCAGTGGTCTCTTGGGCCACCCCATCCATCCCGTGCCATGAGAGCTCAGCCCTGCCGCTGCTCAGGGGCACCAGCCTGCTCTCCTGCATGGTGCTTGCAGCCCGCTCGCTCCCCAAGTGCTGCTGAGTGGGTGTATTTTTCCAGGATCTAAGGGAAGTCAAAGAGCAAAATCCAAGCGGGACAGATGCTGGCGTAAGGCAGCTCTCCACCCTTATAGCAATGTGTTGGCAATGCCACAGCTCGCTGATAAATCCTGTCCGGGTGTGGGGCCCCAGGGCCACGCACCTCCAAAGCATGATGGCCACCACCAGTGGGCTTCGACCTGTTCCCCAAGAAGAGCTGGCAGGGTCCAGGGCCACCCGCCCGCCGCAGCCCCTCATCGATGCTGCTCCGCAGGTGGTAGGTGCCGGGTCCCAGGCCGCTGCCCTGCAGGCACGGGGGGAAAGGCAGCAGGGGCTGCGCTCAGCGGGGGGATGGGGCCACCCCACCAGCATGTCCTCAGGGGAAGGGGCAGGACTCGCCACGGCTGCCAGCAGGGCACACTTTGCCGTCCTGCTGTCCATCAGCCCTCGCGTGCTGGCAGAGTGCGTGTCCATGTCCTCGAGGCAGGCGTAGGGGTTCCCCCGGGGGCCGTACATGCCAGGGCTGGGGAAGCAGTACTGCGGGAGAGGTGGGGTGGCCGTGGGCAGCCTCGGCAAGGGGGACAGTCCCCAGCCCAGCAGGAGGAGATGGTGCCTATGGTAGCTCCTAACCCTTGCAAAGGGCTTGTTCTCTGGAGGCATCAGCCCGGACCCAAGTCCCACAGCCGGCAGGCACCATTCCCCAGCATCTCCCATGTCGGGGTGTGACCTACCCTGTGGGCATCTCTGAACCACTGCTCCCTCGTGTCGCAGAACCCCCGGAGGCTGGAGGGCTGTGTCTCCTGCAGAAAGTCCCTGATGTTGTACGTTCCCGGGCCCAGCCTTTCCTGCTGCAGGAGGAGTGGGGAGG